ACCTCTTTTACACGCAGATGAGAGAGAGATATCGGTGCTGTCCGTCAATCATCACATTCGCCGTTGCCAGAGGATTTGGAGGGAAACCATCGCCACACTCAATCAGTCATCAGCATCTGCAAAACGTTTCGCCGACGCCAAGAGACGTCCCGCCCCCGAGTACTCAGAGGGCCAGGAGGTTTGGCTCTCCACTCGAGACATCCCCCTCAAGGGGATGTCTCGAAAACTCTCCCCGAGATTCATCGGACCCTTTAGGATTTCTCAAGTCATCAACCCCTCAGCTGTTCGTCTCCAGTTACCTCAGTCCCTCCGGATCCACCCCACTTTCCACGTGTCCCAGATCAAGCCTGTCTCTTCGAGCCCTCTGTGCCCTCCGTCCGACTCCCCACCACCCGCCCTGGAGGTCGATGGCCATCCGGCCTTCACAGTGCGCCGCATCGTGGACTCCCGTCGACGAGGTCGCGGATGGCAGTACCTCGTCGACTGGGAGGGCTACGGACCGGAGGATCGCCAGTGGGTCCCAGGCTCGTACATCCTCGATCCGGCACTCATCGAGGAGTACCAGCGTTCCTGCCCATCAACCTCTTCCGGACCGCCAAGGGGCGGTCGTTGAGGGGGGGGTACTGTTGGGAGCTGGAGAAATCCCATCTTTCTCCAGCAGAGTCCGCCGTGGATCCTCTGAGGGAGCCTCCTGCACAGCTGCAGCTCGTCAAGATCATCAGAGGATCCACTACATAAGCTGTCTTCAGACCTTGCCTCAATGCCGCAGTGTTGTTCCAGTTGGTCAGCGCTAAAGCCTAGATCTTTGAGTATCTCCATGACTTTGAATCCAGGTTGGATTCTAACCACTATCTCTGTGTTTCCAGGAAACCCGTGTCTCCTCCGTGAAAGCTCAGGAAGAGCTAACCTGCCGAGCCGACCCTCTGAGCCAAACCCTGAAGATTCTCTGAGAACCTCCAAGCAGCTCTGGACCAGAGCTGGGAAACCAAAGCTAAGGTCTGTTCAAGCTAGACGTGAGACGCTGAAGCAGCAAACGGACTCTGCTGATAAACACCTCTCCAGAACCAACAGTGACTCTCCCCAAAGAGAACCTCAAGAACCCTCAAGGTACAATCAGAGCTCATTTGGAAATCAAATCCAGTCAGCAGTCCTTAACCGCTCTGTCTCTCACGCAGACTCCGGTGAAACCAGAACCCAGGCCCGAACCTGTCTTCAGTACATTCTGTGTGTTGTGCATAATAAACGTGTTAAACTTTCATCCTTGTGTCCGTCAAGTGGTGTTCTGCATAATTGGGTCTCCATTTGAGAACCCATCATGACACACACATTTGTTACTTAAGTAGAAGTATAGATACTGCAGTTTAAAAACATTCTGGTAAAAGTATCAACTTGACCTCTTTACTCAAGTAAAAGTGAAAAAGTATGTGCTCCAAAAACTACTTAAAGTATAAAAGTATAAAGTAACCTTTCAAAAAAACAGCCAGATACCACTATATTACTATTTCGAAAAGTTCTTTGAGATAGGGCCATGGATGAGAGAGGTCTTATTGGTCTCCATCTCCCAATACGCTCTTGCCCGTGCCCGACCTTTCAGACATTTCGACATCTTTTTCTGAATCTAACATTGTAGCATGGCATAGACCAGCGGTCACCAACCTTTTTACAGCTGAGGGCTAATTCAGGGGCACTGAGTTACAGGAAGGGCTACCAATACTGACCTATGAATGGCAAGGGTCAATGTTCACCTAAACTTCATATATTATATACATATCATTATCGTTTCTTTAAATTTATAATTTTCTTTTAGACATTTTCATTTTTGAAATCTCTATAAATGCTTAAATGCCATATATGATTAAATGATGAAATGTTCTATAACCCAATTAAAAAAAGAAGAGCAACATACTGTAATACAGTGAAATTTCAAACGTTTCTCACTGTTGAGTTGTTCTATTTTCAGAAGACTCTAAGGGCACCCCTTGTGGTCCTTGAGGGCCCCTTGGTGCCCGCGGGCACCATGTTGGTGATCCCTGGCATAGACAATTCATGTGTGCAAAATTGAAGAACACCTGCTTGCTTCTGATGATTTCTTTTGGCGTCAGCACAAGTTTGACGAATAGCTAACCAATGCGTGCTCATGACTCATCCAATTACACTAGTTTTCACTAGATGTGGATGGAGCCAATGATCTGCATTGGATGGTGCACATGACGTGAAATAAATATTTATAAACATAAAACCAAAGCCAAGTTTAGCAAGTAACATTTGTTTTAAAAATGTAAGGAATAGAAAGTACAGATACTTGTGTGAAAATGTAATGAGTAGAAGTCAGAAATAGGAGGAGAAATAAGTAATGGAGTAAAGTATAGATATCTAAAGTGTAGTTAAGTACAGTAACGAAGTATTTGTACTTCGTTACTTGACAACTCTGGTGTGCATTGATGACTGAAAGACATCTCTGCCTCCATTTATCTGTTTACTACAGTGTGTTGAGTTCATGCGTATCTAAAGACATTTCAATTAGTGGAAAAAAATTGCAGGGGGGGAATATAAAAAATGTCTAATCTACAAAACTTTTGTGACCCCCATGCAGTACCACTGTGGACCCCCTAGGGGTTGAGGACCCCCTGTTGAAGACCTCTGACCTAAACTGTTTTGTATCCATATCTCTAAGCTTTATGAAACTCCATCAGCCAAATGCATGGTTCCAAAGACTCTATTTATGTTTTAAAAGTGTTTTAAGATTTCTAATCAGCTGTCATAGACAATAGAAAGCAGATTATGCTCTATTTATATTTCACATTTTGAGCAAATACGTAATTCTCTGTCAGACCGTTGCCATGACCATATCTGCCCTCCGTATTGATGTCATACGAAGAAGTAAATAATGTGCCAGCATTGCTGTTCTGCACATCTGATGCTTTGACATATATAACAGGATTTCCAGCCAAGCCACAGATTTGTTTTGACATGTTGAAAAATCCCATGCCATAATTGTGAGTTATCCCTTCTGCCAATGCTTAACAGTAACAGTAAGTAAACACATGTGAATATGTGCCCACATATTACTTACTATATTTACTGCCGTGTTTATGTCCACTCACTCACATGATTGTGGCGTTTTAAATCAGTATGTAGTAGAGTGTCATTTATTCCCAGGCACAGTCCTGTTACTTGTCATACTCCTTAACATAGATGCTTGTCTCCTGGCAACAGATGACTCTGACTCCGGCACACTTAGCGCCGAATGTGCCAGCGGATGATGCCCACATGACAAAAAACATATTTAAAAGAAAACGAATGAACGTCTATGTTGCTTCGTCATACTGAACAACATATTAACAAACCATGCACACTGGACATACACCAAAACCCAGATATATCAGCTGGGACTTTCTGTTTGAGAACATTTTTTTTACTCAATACATCAACTCTGTACATAGATTGAGTTTGATGGCAACCAGCCTTTTATGTGAGCTCTAAATTAAATATAACAAACACAGAAACCGAAACATGCATTACCTATGTGCCCTTAAAAGGCTTAAACTTTTTCACCTATAGCTTTTCTGGCTACATTTTACAAAAGAAGAAAATCCAAATAAAGGCTGAATTAGGCATTTTATGAAAGTAGACTGTGACTCAAAAACTATTTATTTCAATATTTATAAAAAATCAATGTGTACATTAAAAAAGAATTATGAAAAACTGAGTGTAACATTTAACTTGAATATTTTAATTTTGCAGCAATAAAAATCTGAATTCGAGTTTCTGAGAACCTATTAATAACTCAACAACAAAAAGGGATTATTTTAAAAACTGAAATGTTCCAGATTGACCTAGATTGAGGGTTCTATGAGAGCTCTCTATTCAAACACATTGATGGAGAGTTGATTAGACAGAAAAAGTGTGACAGACAAGGGGTCACAGGCAGCCTAGTTAGACTGGTGAAGCAATGTCATTTAAAGAATTTTGTGGAGATTCAGAAGATGTAGACTGGCGCTGAAGTTAGAGCTTTCTACCACATAGACATAACAGGACATGGGCTACAAATGTTGCATTGGTTTTGTGTTAGGTCAATCCTGAACCATGCACAAAATCTGAAGCGTCGCTGTGACCTCTTTTAGGAAATAATCATGCTTTTTAACAGGTCATAATTTCAGGAATCATTTTTAATCTCTTAAAATAAACATACTTTTCAGGAAAAAATGAACATATTATACTAGATTCTTAAAATTACACTGAAGTAAAATATTTTTTGAGGAAATTTAGTTCATTCGCTCAATTCATTTTACATTGAAAATATATGTAAAGGTTCATTTTTGATAAATTATTACCTTTTATCAAGTTTTATTACCAGTTCTGACATTTCTTTATTTTTTTTATACGGTTCGTATAGTTATAGTTCACACTCTAAAGAGAAGAACATTGTTACACTAGAACACCTGAGAGGTATTATTGTTGTAGAGTGGATTATGCTACAGCCTTATAATCCCAGTTTGTGTTTCAAACAAACAAACACAGAAATCTGACAAGAGTTGTGCACAAAGGAATAAGGTCAAAGTTTTAAAAGAGGAGCTTAAAGGCACAGTGCAGAATGAAAGAACTGAGCTCAATACCTACACTGATTTTTAACAGTGCAATGCAGTCTTTATCAAATGGAAACATCTGCTTTAAATAAGAGCATACATATCACAGATTACATTTATAAATTTGTAAATGTAGTAAACCAGCAAGTGTAAAATGCTTGTTAATACAGAGCATGTCATTTGATCTCCCTATATGAAGACACAACTTATTAACCGTAGAATTGTTGCCAAGTAGGATGTAAGTATGTGTTGCAGAAAATAATATTATTTGATTGCTAGATAAAGTTGCCTACTAACTCAAGAACAGTTAGTACCTCTGTGAAACAAAACTCTGAAAGATAAATGCAAATTCATTTATAATGGATTTCTGCATCAGTGGAATGATGGACAGGAAGGTTAACATAGGAGACTTACTTTTTCTGCTGGTTCTCCTTTCGGTCTGCAGAGCCCAGACTCTGGAAAGAAAGTGAAGAAGAGCACTCATTAAAATCAGCATTTAATGCATTCCGGTTTCCATAATTTGGAACTTACAGAAAACTCTAAAAAAACATAACAAAAAAACATCAGATTATTTTAGAGGTTTTAAGCTTTCCCAGTTGAGGGGGTCAACATGACTACATGATTGCTAGCTGATGGAAAAATGACAACAGTCAGGTTGTAAACTGAAGTTTTAAAAGGGTGTCTTAAGAGAGAGAGAGGAAACGTGAGTGAGGGATATTTTTAAAATTAATTTCCCTGATGGTAAAGTCCTCTGATATCAGAAAGTATCAGTATAGATCTTATTGTTCCTGCAGGCACTTCTCAACAGGGGATATTCAAATACCTCCCACCAAAGGAGCCAACCTTTGAGCACCAACCAAAAATATAACCATACACAAAAGTGCAAGTACACAAATAGAAATGCTCCTGCTGTCCAGGTCTTCTTGAGAGGCTCAGCTTTGAATTATGCAGAAATAACCTCAACTCTGCTAACATAACCTAAAAAACATATGCAAGCGTTACTGAGAAATTACCTTAGAGTGGAGACAATTTGGAGAAAAACTATGTTGCTTTGCATTCTTTTTATTTGTAATAAACATGTATCTATGCTGCCCCTTAATATGGTGCATCAATAACTGCATCTTGGGACTCAGCATGAAAACTGAAGCCTGCAGTGAGAAGAAAAAACTATTCTGTCAATCATTTGCAACATAATAGACCAATTCTACCAGTAAGACTGAGTGCTTCTGAAATGACTCTTGAGCTGGCACATTTCTCAATTCAAGTAAAACATCTTATTATCTAAAGATCACAACACTTAAGTACCTGGCAAAGGCATTCATAACCCTAATGTTTTTATTCTATTTTTTATTTTTTTAGCTTTCATGGGATAGATAACCATAATGCGAAATATGTGGTATACTCAGTCTCTGCTATTCTAATGCCGCCAAAAATTAAATGTGATGTAGTGCTTCTAAAATGAAAAAATCTTTTAAGACACACTTTTAGGACCCCCTGCTGAGGTGGAAGTATCTGTTGACAGGACAACCACCTCTCATGCACCCCTACAGATTTGCCACTGTTAAAAGAAATGGGAAGTCAGAAGTCCCATTTGTCGTTTTGTACAAACCATCTGGGAGACACATATAGATGATAATTGCATCAAATCAGACCAAAAATACAATTTTTTTGGTACATGCAATATGCTTAGTGTTGAGGAACACTAGGGAAAAAAAGCTGGTCTGAATTTGAAATGCACAATTCCCAGTATAAAACACATTGGTGGCAGGATTTCTAAAAAGAGATGGAGCTAAATGCAGAGAAGCTATGGAAGAAAATCCACTCAGAAGTTGCAAAAGTTGATAAAGACATTATCCTAAAAGTTTTGCAGGTACAAAACAGTCCAATAAATAATCTAGTTTTAGTAGGTAAAATGTATTTAAAGGCTACAGCGTTAAAACCTTGATTGGTAAAAACTTCAAAAATTCAAAGGGAAAGAATAATTTTCCAAAGAAATATTTTGAAAACCTTGCTGATCTAATCTGACCTTATCTAATCAAATCTATTCTAATATAGTACAATATAATATAATGTTCTTATCATATAATATATTATAATTGTATTATTTGGTAAAAACTTTGAGGACCTCTCAAATAGCCAAGTTGCTTTTTTCCAACTCTTTCTTTAGCGCCTTAAACTAGACATTAGAGGTAACTGGTAGCACTTCTATATGAGTCATATGCTGGCATTTTGAACAGAAAGATGCTTCTCTGACGTTTTAGGCGTACCTTTTATGCAAGCATGGAGTTGACATTTTAACAGCACCTGACTTCTAAGCACCTATACAGCCCCTTCATATGGTTTCAGGCTCCCGGTGGGGGAGGATATGGTAACCTTTTACCCCACCAGGTCTGTCCCCCCAGGTATTACCACTCTCCCTCAGAGGGAGGATGGCAGGTGGGTCGGCTTTATTTGACAGATAGGTCTGCAGGAGATGAAGGAGTACCATTTTAGGATTTTCTATTAGACTAAACGAATTAGTAGGATTCAAATATTGAGAATCATTTAGGGGTTATACTCTTGACAATATTAGAACTTAGAACAATTTTTAATGCTTCCTGAAAGAGTGCTGTAAACAAAATTCCTTTTATGTTTTTTGTTCTTTTTGTGGAATGGTGGATTTATGTGCATGATGACCTCTTGAGTATAATATGAAGCACCTTTATATTGTTTGTTTGGGTATTAAATCATTTCTGAGGATAAAGTTCTAAGTACTTAATATGGACTTAAACATAGATTGTTCTTTTTAAACTTGGAACATTGGCAAAACTAAAGCACCTAATGCTCTGTAAGGAGATAAATAAATGGAGATATACATTAAAAGATTCAGTTTTAAATTATTTGGCTGTCATTTGACATCTTTTCAGAGAGTGAATTACTAGAAGTCTGGAAATCTTTGAAATCATACAGGTTACTAAATCAGGTAGCCCTGTCTGTAGCATTCGATAACAAGGATGGTTTTGACTCTCAAAACCTGTGTAGCATTTGTAAAAAAAAAAGTTTTATTTTCATGGGAAGAAATGCTTTCCTTGCCCAATTTGGGCCACTTCATGCTTTCCAGCTGCCTTTGTGATCTTAAACATCATCAGTAACCATAGTGATTCAAGAATTATGTAAGTTATAGTGTACTTGTCTGCAATATCACACTGCCTAAGTGTGCTGTAAAGATAATAGGTCTGATCATCAAAAAAAAAAAAAACATACATTTTGCATGCATGCAAGTTGGAGTCTGTTCATTTCAAAGGCTAACTGCACCTTGAGGACAGTTATTTTTTCCGTCCTACTGTTCCAATCCCAAATGAGATAAATAAATAAAATAATGAAGAAAAAGAACTTGGAAACGAGCGTCTGCAAAAAGCTTCCTACATGAGGTGGCTGGGCTATAGCTTGAAGCATTTCGCTGAAGTATTTCAGCATCAAAAAGGGTCTGCTGAAGTGCTTTAGGAATTTCATCAGTTTGAATAATGGGTGCTGTCCTTGTGATGTTTCTGGAAATATCTTACTGAGAGGTGAACCAAGGGCAAACCGAAAACTTGCTTTAGGACCAAAACTTGCTTTAGAATCCAAAAAGCTAGCAAAGAACTCAATGACTATAAACTATCCTTTTTCACCCTTAAATAAATTCTACCTGCAGAGGACCAAGGTGTGTCTGCAGAAGGCAAAAGTTTCTGAACACAACATCTTAATGTTTCTACCTATAAATATGCTAGCCGGCTTGTTAAGAATACACATCTGTCACTCATTTAGTCATTTAGAGCCATTCAGTGACTGAAAACTGGAAGTTTTGCCGTAAATGTAACTTCATATTCAACCACATTAGGGGGAAATTCAAAATTCAGGCGGAATTAATCTTTTAGGCTGGCCCCCAGTAAAGACATTAGATTACAGTTTTATCCTCTCCATCATGCCGTCGCGCTTCTTAGTCAGTGTGTCTATGGAGGCAGGTGTTTGAGCAAATGCCTTCACAGTATGCTCTAATGGGAACTTGGCACTCCTTTACTGCTATGAAATCACACTGATTGGTAATCTATAAGCAGTTCTCCTAGCTAATGATTCCAGAAGCATTAGTCCTCCTTAGCATGCAGATCTACAATACAGAACAAACGGAAATGCATACAGTTAACAACGTACAAGACTCCAAGCATAAAAACATACATAAAAACAAGCATACAACAATCATATTTTCCGGAGGCATTCACCTTGGATCCGTTGATTCCAGCAGACATAACTGTCAAATCTAATGCCACTCCACTCTCCCTGCCCTTCTTCCCTAAAGTCCTCAGCGTACCGTTTCAGTCACAACTCTAAACTGCGGCTCACCTGTTCAACTTCAACTATCAAGCTCTGCTTCCCAGCCCTGTTTTTTCTGCTTTCTATCCAAAGCTGCTGGTTATACGAAGGTTTGCGAAAGCTTGCTCCAATGGTGGCTGCAACTACCACTGACTTGTTGTACTTTAATTGTGGTTGCTAGGAGATAAGCTTCTCCAATTCAGCACACAGGGTGGAGGGGAAGAAAGGGGAGCGAAGGTGGGGGGGGAGAAAGCGAGAGAATAGGTGGCGGGGGTGAGGAGGAAATGCTCATTATGGACACAGAAACCAAGAAAGAATGATATGGAAAAGGAAGAAACTGAGCTTCACAGAAGAGAAGAAGCTGTGCAAATGATAGAAAAGGAGGGAAAATGGAGAATAAACCTCAATTAGAAGTTACTATTGCTTCATTCCTAGTGAAGCCACCATCTACAGCAGCAAAACTCAGCGGGCATTTCTAACAATTCAGACACTGGTTTGAGTTCGCTTCAAAGCAGCTTTTCAATAGTCCTTTGCTTTAAGTCTGTCCCTTGACATTGCTTGTGTTTTTACCTTTAAATAATATTTTGAACTACTTTATTTTTATTTTTTATTTTTTTGTCCAATAAACCTTGTTATAAACCATAAAAAATTCAGGTATAAAAAGCCTCCCAAACTAATAGAATGAAGCACAAAATCTCACACAACAGAGAGACAGTTCAATATTTAATTCCAGTGCACTTTTCACCAGTACCAGGTTAAAAAAATGACACATCTTAATAATTTTTTTATTAAATTGAATACTTTTAAAAAAGTCAAAACACGCAGCTTGTAAGATATTACCTGGCATTCAGTCCAAACAATTTAACACTTAAAAATCAAGCTTGTCCAGAAATTTTTGCTGTTTTCGTTTCTTGAAAATATTACTTTCAGAGAAGCACAAGAAAAAATTGTCAGTAAAAATTTGATTTAACCCAACAATTATTCAACCAGTTGAAAGCTCATAACCTAATCTTTTTGTAATAAGTTAAAGGAGAATTCCGGTTTTTAACACTTTTAGCCCATTTTCTGTAGTGTCCAGGATGAAATCGAATGATCGACACCAAAATTTTGACAATTGCTCCTGTCT